TTGGATTACTGGCAGTACATATAGACCATTTCATACCTTTTTACCATTTTAACACCTATATTTTTTTTTCCTGGGAAGTGCTGTCAAGTGCCAAGTGTGCAGTGTGTTTGAAATAAGTAATGTGTTTAAATCTTTTTACAGTGCAGTACCTCTCACAAACCTCAGAAAATGTCACAAAGTCAGGTAACGTTGAGCAGTATATGACTAAGTCCATAAAATTACACCTGCAAACAACGTCACCAGATTAATTTGTCTGAAGAAGCCCTGGCAATGCAGCATCTCTTTCCCTTTTCAGGGAAGCAGGTTACATATTTAAACCTAAGGAAACTACGGCATGGAGTTATGGTGTTGATGCTATGGAAACATTATTACCTACACCAGTGGTTCTTAATCCTGGTCCTTGCAACCCCCCGCTCTGCATATTTTGCATGTCTCTCTTGTTTAACACACCTGATTCAAATCACCAGCTTGTTAGAAAAGAGCTCCAGTTTAGCTCTAGCATTGAGAATGGTATCAATGACCTTGCTGAAAGGCTGGACTCTATGAACTGCAACCCTTCAGGTGCCAGACCCACAGTCTCCAAATCTCTGGTCAAGGGTTAATGGTTGTTCCAAAAACCTGGAACAAAAGGTCTCTCTTGGTCATCATCTAGCACAGAGAGCCTTCCAGGAGAGCCACTAAATCTGAAAACCATACTTGAGCTGTCCAGAACAAAGTTAGGAGTAGTTGGCCTGACTAACCCTAGCTAGAACTTCCAGGATAAGAGTGATTGGGGGCTAAGGTGTGCAGGCACAGCCATGGCCATGTCTGTAACATGGCATCCAGCCCCAATGGAGCTGGAGCTGTGTGGGCAAACCAGAGGACACAGTGAGTTAACTCCTCTGAGGCTCTGCCAAATGGACTCCATTATTTCTGGATGGAGTTGCTAATCCCTATGCCTCGGCCACTGCCTCTAAAGGATGCCTGCTTCTGAATTCAGGTGTCAAAGGAGAACATGTTCTTAGCCCAGAGTGGGATCTGCTACACCAGCCTGAAAAGGGCGTGCGAATGTAGCCTGCCCTGGTGATTTCTCAAAAAAAAAAAAAAAAGATTGTTCCTGTGTCAGCAATAGAATGTGCTCTTGTGAACCATTGTGTGCAGGGATGCACCAGCCTGACCTGCTGCCTCATAAGCCTTGCCCACCAGCCCAGATTTAATGCCATATTGAAAGCAAAGCTAGTCTCTTTAGTGAAGCTGCCGATTGGTCAGCTTTGCCCATGGTCAATGAATTTACGTGTTTACATGTGATTCAGACACTGGTGCATGCTGAAGACATTCCCATGGCATCAACGCCATGATGCAAAGTCTCTTGAGAGAGACCCCTTGAAGGTCTCTTGAGAGGGAACTCACTGCGTGTTTTGCTAAGGTATTGGTTGTAGTGTTGCAGTTTTGCTAAGGTAAGTTGGTTATAGTGTGTTGCTATGTGGTTGCTAGGCAGTAGGTGGTTTCATAATGGATGCTTACTTTCCCAAATATTTTATATAAATAAAAATATATTGCTCAGGTCCCACATTGAAATGTAACTCTTTTGCTGTGTCTGAATGTGCATACTATCAGCACAGGTAATATATTTCATGGAAAACTTCATGACTATTAGAAAAAGTGTGCAGTGTGAATGCAATCAGGGCATATGTAACCAGTCTGGACCTTTGCTCTGCGTTGTGTTGACAATTGAATGAGACCGGACAACAGAGATTCCTCAGGCCACTTTTTATTATGAACGAATAAAAAGGCAAATTTATTTAAAAAAAAACTTCAATCCGTGGCCTTCCCCCACAATTTCAGCATTGACCTCTCCTCAGCTGCGCTTTCTGCGAACTGCACTTCTATTACAGTTTTTAAAGGGGTCATATGATGTGATTTCAAGTTTTCCTTTCTCTTTGGAGTGTTATAAGCTGTTTGTGAATAGATAAGATCCCTAAAGTTGCAAAGACTAAAGTCTCAAACCCAACGAGATATTCTTTATAAAAGTTAAGACTCGTCCACGCCCTCCTAAAATGCCTCGTTTAAACGCGCCCCCACATGTCTACGTCACTGTGTGGGAAGACTTGCATAACACCGCCCAAATGTTCACGCAAAGAAAGAAGGCGTAACTTTGATTCTCACTGTAGTATTGTTACCGCCGCCGCCACCATGTCATGGAGACGCTGTGTTTCATTGTGAAAGCGAAATTACTTTGTTTGGCCTTCCAAAAGAGGACACAACTAGAAATCAGTGGTTAAGTTGTATTTACAACACTGTTCCAGAACAGTTTAACCCATATATTCGTGTGTGTGCAACGCATTTTAAGGAGGATGAGGACTGTTTCCTGGAAAAGTAGCCTACAATGCCAGTTTTCTGACAAATAATGCTGAGTCACAGCCTGTAAGTACGTTTTCATATTTAAAGAATTTGCTTTAACCACTGACGATTCAGACGCGAGTTTTGAGCAGTGTAGAGTAGCGCTTGTTGTTTGTCGTTTCTCCGATCACAAATGCAGACATGGTTTTATGTTTATGCGGCGCGATGCAACGCAACGCGTAACAAGACATGTGAAAGCGAAATTACTTTGTTTGGCCTTCCAAAAGAGGACACAACTAGAAATCAGTGGTTAAGTTGTATTTACAACACTGTTCCAGAACAGTTTAACCCATATATTCGTGTGTGTGCAACGCATTTTAAGGAGGATGAGGACTGTTTCCTGGAAAAGTAGCCTACAATGCCAGTTTTCTGACAAATAATGCTGAGTCACAGCCTGTAAGTACGTTTTCATATTTAAAGAATTTGCTTTAACCACTGACGATTCAGACGCGAGTTTTGAGCAGTGTAGAGTAGCGCTTGTTGTTTGTCGTTTCTCCGATCACAAATGCAGACATGGTTTTATGTTTATGCAGGGCGATGCAACGCAATGTGTAAAAAGACAGTATAAGTCATTATAATCAGTAATTATGTCCCCACTGGATGCTACAAATGCCTTGTTTATAATGGTGTGGCGAGGGGGGTGTGGTTTAGCGGAGTCGGCAGCGGGAGAGAGCGGTCGGAGACGAGCGGTGAGTAAGTAGGTCAAGTGCAAAATTACATTCACCTGCTTCTCATTTCAGTGATTGGCCTGGAGAGACTGTAAAAGGCCGCAAGGAAAAGGAAACAGAGAGGGAGAAAGAGACGGTGGGTGGAAGACTGTTGCCTGTGGGCTAGAGAATGCGCTGAAGTGCTGTATAGTTATGTTTATTTGAAGCGCCAGAGCGCCTGCCTGTTTTCTTATTTTGGTCAATTGAATAAATTACCACGAGCCTCAGTCACGCCGACTCCGACTTCTTCCTTCCTTCCCTTGAACTTTGTTACACTGGTGCCGAAACCCGGGGAGGGAGAAGCCGGCCGCTGCAATCATGCAGTCACCGCCAAGTTCGCAGTTTGTGGAATTGATCCAATCGCTCGCGGGCCTCCACCAAGAGCAGCATCAGGCGTTGCTGGAAATGCGGGAGGACAAGGAACGTCGGTTCCGCGCTCTGGTGCAGGCGCAACAGGAGGACCGTGAGCTGTTCCGGAGCTGGATGGACCATGAGGGTTTGGCAGGAGGGCCGTCATCGAGGACCACCGTCGGCCCCTCTCATCTGCCCCTGAATAAAATGGGACCACAGGACGATCCAGAGGCTTTCATCGATCTATTCGAGAAATCGGCCGAGGCATGTGGATGGCCACGAGAGCACTGGCCACAAGAGCACTGGCCAGTGCGTCTCATACCACTGCTTTCAGGGGAGGCGCAGGTGGCGGCCCAACAACTGCCCATTCAAAACCTCCTGGTCTTTACCGATCTGAAGCGAGCCATCCTGCAGCGGGTCGGCCGGAGCCCCGAACAACATCGCGAGCGATTTCGGTCGCTGGATCTGGGGGAAAGTGGCTGTCCCTTCGTGTTGGCTCAACAGCTCTGGGACGCCTGCCGCAAATGGCTGCTGGCTGGGGGAAGCGACATCGAGCAGATCCTCGACCGTGGTGCTGGAGCAGTTTATCGGCCGTCTCCCGAGGAAGACGGCGGGGTGGCTCCAGTGCCACCGCCCGATGTTGCTAGACCTGGCCATCCAGTTGGCGGAGGACCAGATGGTGGCGTGCCCATCCCTTTCCTAGGTCCCATATGGGAATCACTCCTCGAGTCCCTCCCCGGGGAAGGGGCGGGCCGCCTCCGGAGTCTGCTGCTGGCCCGAGAGCGCTGCCCAGGGGGGCGGGGCTAGCCAGTATGGGATCCGCAGCGGTTCCTTTTTTTCCGCTCTCTCCACGTCAGTCCCTTGACCCACTTCCTGCCACTAGGGCGGCGGGGAAGTCTGTGCCGGCCTTCCGCGCTCTGGTGCAGGCGCAACAGGAGGACCGTGAGCTGTTCCGGAGCTGGATGGACCATGAGGGTTTGGCAGGAGGGCCGTCATCGAGGACCACCGTCGGCCCCTCTCATCTGCCCCTGAATAAAATGGGACCACAGGACGATCCAGAGGCTTTCATCGATCTATTTGAGAAATCGGCCGAGGCATGTGGATGGCCACGAGAGCACTGGCCAGTGCGTCTCATACCACTGCTTTCAGGGGAGGCGCAGGTGGCAGCCCAACAACTGCCCATTCAAAACCTCCTGGTCTTTCGGAGGACCAGATGGTGGCGTGCCCAGGAGTCGGCGAATCCTTGCCAGCTCTCTCTCTCTCTCTTCCCCTAATATTTCTTCTTCCCCTCGTCCTGTTCCCTTTCCTAGGTCCCATATGGGAATCACTCCTCGAGTCCCTCCCCGGGGAAGGGGCGGGCCGCCTCCGGAGTCTGCTGCTGGCCCGAGAGCGCTGCCCAGGGGGGCGGGGCTAGCCAGTATGGGATCCGCAGCGGTTCCTTTTTTTCCGCTCTCTCCACGTCAGTCCCTTGACCCACTTCCTGCCACTAGGGCGGCGGGGAAGTCTGTGCCGGCCTGTTGGTGTTGCGGGGACCCAGGACATTTCATTGACCGGTGCCCGGTTATGGAGGTCGGGGCACTGATCCGGGTCCCGGACAACCCACAGGCTGCCCCCGATCAAGCTGGCCTGTACCAAATACCTGTGAGTATTAAGGGGGGTACCTATCTCGCTTTGGTGGATTCAGGTTGTAACCAGACCTCGATCCAGCAAAGACTGATTCAGCTCGAGGCATAGAAGTACCGATACATCACTTAAAATGTACTCAAGTAAAAGTAAAAGTACACAATTTTTAAACTACTCACAAAAGTACAATTACTGATAAAAACTACTTAATTACTGTAACGTGAGTATTTGTAATTCGTTACTTCACACCCCTGGTTGTAACCAAACCTCGATCCATCAAAGCCTGATTCAGCTCGAGGCATTGGATAGAAGCCGCACGGTTCCAGTTCGGTGTGTGCACGGGGATGTGGTGAAGTATCCGCTAATGTCAGTGCTGATTCAATTTCGGGGTCAAAAGCATAGTGTGGAGGTTGCAATTAATCCGCACATCCGGCATCCGCTAATTTTGGGGACGAATTGACCAGCATTTAGTCAATTACTGGGTTGTTTGTGTTCGGATGTATCTTGTGGAGAGAGAAAGCTGGAGGACGGAGCGGACGCGCACGTGGGAGAAGCTGAACCGGGACCGCGGGATACTGAGCCAGGGGAACAGAGTGCGAATGAGAGCCCGTCCGTCCGCTCTCATATCCCTATTTTGCTATTTTAAAGGAGCGGTTGTACTGAGTGGCACAAGACACTCAGACAAAGCAGGATACAAACCAATTGTTAGTACCTAAAAGCCGTCTGGAAATGCTTTTCCAGGCGGCTCATTGTAATCCGATGGCGGGACATTTAGGACAGGCAGCGACACTAAATCGTCTCATGACCCGATTCTTTTGGCCGGGCATTCACAAGAATGTGCGCAGGTGGTGCATGTCAGCTGGTAAACCCACCGGCCTCCCCAAAAGCGCCTTTGCGCCCCCTTCGAAAGAATTGGTATGGTCCCCCAAGCCTCCACGGGGTTTTCCCCCTTTGAGCTTCTCTATGGCCGTCAGCCCCGCGGAGTGCTGGACGTCCTGAGAGAAACTTGGGAGGACGGACTTTCAGAAAGCCGAAATGAAATTCAATACGTGCTGGACCTGAGAGCAAAACTCCACACCTTGGGGCGGCTGTCGATGGAGAATTTGTTACAGGCCCAGGACAGGCAGAGTCGGCTGTACAACAGGGGGTCCAGGCTACGTAAATTTGCACCGGGAGAAAAAGTGCTTGTATTACTTCCTACTTCTAGCTCTAAATTACTCGCCAACTGGCAAGGACCCTTTGAGGTCACACGGCGAATTGGGGATCTTAATTATGAGGTCATTCGGACAGATAGGAGCGGGGCACGTCAGATTTATCACCTCAACCTCCTAAAAAAATGAGGCCCAGGACAGGCAGAGTCGGCTGTACAACAGGGGATCCAGGCTACGTAAATTTGCACCGGAGAAAAAGTGCTTGTATTGCTTCCTACGTCTAGCTCTAAATTACTCGCCAAGTGGCAAGGACCCTTTGAGGTCACAATGCGAATTGGGGATCTTAATTATGAGGTCATCCGTACATATAGGAGTGAGGCGCATCAGATTTATCACCTCAACCTCCTAAAAAAATGGAGCGAGGCGGAGTCAGTGATGCTAGCGACGGCAGTGAGTGGGGAGGAGGATCTCGGGCCAGAAGTAAATACTAAACTGCAATCTATAGCTCTGGCCCCTGAGGGAGACCACCTCTCGCCCTCGCAGCTCGCTGATGTAGCCAAGCTACAGGCAGCGTTTGCAGATGTGTTCTCGCCCCTACCTGGTCGAACGGACCTCATACAGCACCACATAGAAACCGAGCCGGGTGTGGTGGTTCGCAGCCGGCCATATCGTTTACCTGAGCACAAAAAAAAGGTGGTTCAGGCGGAATTAGAAGCGATGCTAGAGATGGGAGTAATAGAGGAATCCCATAGCGATTGGGCGAGCCCGATAGTTTTAGTGCCAAAAACTGACGGCTCGGTACGATTCTGTGTGGATTATCGCAAGGTGAATGCTGTGTCGAAATTCGACGCATATCCAATGCCGCGGGTTGACGAACTGCTTGATCGGCTGGGTGCAGCTTGTTTTTATTCGACACTGGATTTAACTAAAGGATACTGGCAGATCCCCTTATCACCTCTATCCAAAGAAAAAACAGCCTTCACCACGCCGTTCGGATTGCACCAATTCGTTACGCTTCCGTTCGGGTTGTTCGGGGCGCCGGCCACGTTTCAGCGCCTCATGGATAAGATTCTTCGGCCACATGCGACATATGCTGCTGCTTATCTGGATGATATTATTATCTATAGCAACGACTGGCAGCGGCATATGGAGCATGTGTGGGCCGTACTGAGAGCGCTGAGAAGGGCCGGACTGACGGCCAACCCGAAGAAGTGTGCGGTTGGGCGGGTCGAGGTGCGGTATCTGGGCTTCCACTTGGGCCACGGGCAGGTGCGTCCCCAAATTAGTAAGACGGCAGCGGTTGCGACCTGCCCGAGACCCAAGACCAAAAAGGAGGTAAGGCAGTTCCTGGGGCTGGCGGGATATTACAGAAGGTTTGTACCTAATTATTCGGACCTCACCAGCCCGCTGACTGACCTTACTAAAAGGGAAGCCCCAGACCCGGTCCAGTGAACGGAGCTGTGCCAGCAGGCTTTCACCCAGGTAAAGGCTGCTCTGTGTGGCGGACCACTTTTGCACTCTCCTGATTTTTCTCTCCCCTTCTTGCTGCAGACGGACGCATCGGACAGGGGGCTTGGAGCGGTCCTGGCCCAGGAGATAGAGGGTGAGGAACGGCCGGTGCTGTACATCAGTCGTAAGCTCTCTAAGAGAGAGACGATGTACAGCACCATTGAAAAGGAGTGCCTGGCGATCCGGTGGGCGGTTCTCACCCTCCGTTATTATCTCCTGGGCCGGGAGTTCACTCTCTGTTCGGACCACGCGCCCCTGCAGTGGCTCCACCGCATGAAGGATACCAATGCGCGGATCACTCGTTGGTATCTGGCTCTCCAGCCATTTAAGTTCAAGGTGATCCACAGGCCGGGGGCGCAGATGGCCGTGGCGGACTTCCTCTCCAGGAATGGGGGGGGCTGCGGGCCGGAGGGCTCCCCGGCCTGAGTCGGGCGGTGGGGGTATGTGGCGAGGGGGGCGTGGTTTAGCGGAGTCTGCAGCGGGAGAGAGCGGTCGGAGACGAGCGGTGAGTAAGTAGGTCAAGTGCATGATGACATTCACCTGCTTCTCGTTTCAGTGATTGGCCTGGAGAGACCGTAAAAAGCCTCAGGGGGAACAGAGAGAGAGGGAGACAGACTGAGGTCTCGTGTGGGAGAGACTGTGGCCGGGGCACAGAGATACGCAGAAGTGCTATATAAGTTTTGTTTGTTTTGCAGCGCCAGAGCGCCTGCTTGTATTCGCTGTTCCTACGGGACGCTTAATAAATTACCCGAGCCTCAGTCACGCTGACTCCGACTTCTTCCTTCCCTACTAAAGAACATTACAAATTAACATTACTCATTACAAATAATACAAATAAAAAAAATATGTAAAAAGTAAGTACTTAAGACTAGTATGACAGTTGCTATTTATAGACAAACACTGCAAATACACCAAATGTTGTCTCATTAGGAAGCCCAGAGAAGAAAGGGGCATAGTGGAGAGGAGGCACAGAGCAGGTGGCGAAAGAAGGCCAGTTTATGAGCTAGAGACATAGTGTATGCTGTCATTGCTCCAGGAATCAGTGAGCTGGCAGCTTCTAAATGCTCAGAGGCATGTGGTAACACTAGGTGTCTTCTAAGGGGAATGAGTGCACATCAAACAGGCAGATAGAGATAAATCAGCCTGTGTCCCACTAGCTATAAATAACCTGACTTGAGCTCTCGCTGGAACACGGAGCACTTCACACCAGCCACACCTGGGATAAGAGCAAACAGAGCGACAGGAACTCTGTTTGTGTGTGAGTACACCTGCCTGCTTGATGGATCAATTCATGTTCTTTTCAGGTATAACTCAACGTAATCACTGTCTATTCAGTAGAGTTCAGGTAATTCAGTGTCAATAGCAATCAAAGACGAGTCACTCATCGCAAAGAACTACTACAGTATATGTGTTTAAGTAATGAGTCAATTGCTCAGGTTCAATGTTCTCTACATGGAGTCCACAAAGGTATTACAGGTGGTCTGTGGACAAGAATAAAACTTACATTATATTTCTAACAAATAACACTACACTACCATTTAAAAGTTTGGGGTCAATTTGTTTTGGGTTTTTTTTGTATGTTTTTCAAAGTCTCTTATTATTATCAATGTTAAAAACAGTTGTGCTGCTTAATATTTTTGTAAAAACCCTGATAGATTTTTTTCAGCACTCTATGATGAATAGAAAGTTCAAAAGAACAGCAAAAACTGCATTACAAATGTCTTTAAAAACCATGATTCGGAAGTTCGTTCACGAAGACGCCAAAAATTGGGACAGGTGGCTGGAACCCCTCTTGTTCGCCGTGCGGGAGGTCCCCCAAGCCTCCACGGGGTTCTCCCCCTTTGAGCTTCTCTATGGGCGTCAGCCCCGCGGGGTGCTGGACGTCCTGAGAGAAACTTGGGAGGACGGGCCTTCAGAAAGCCGAAATGAAATTCAATACGTGCTGGACCTGAGAACAAAACTCCACACCTTGGGGCGGCTGTCGATGGAGAATTTGTTACAGGCCCAGTCGGCTGTACAACAGGTGATCCAGGCTACGTAAATTTGCACCGGGAGAAAAAGTGCTTGTATTGCTTCCTACGTCTAGCTCTAAATTACTCGCCAAGTGGCAAGGACCCTTTGAGGTCACACGGCGAATTGGGGATCTTAATTATGAGGTCATTCGGACAGATAGGAGCGGGGCACGTCAGATTTATCACCTCAACCTCCTAAAAAAATGGAGCGAGGCGGAGTCAGTGATGCTAGCGACGGCAGTGAGTGGGGAGGAGGATCTCGGGCCCGAGGTAAATACTAAATGGCAATCTCTAGCTCTGGCCCCGGGGGGAGATCTCCTCTCGCCCTTGAAGCTCGCTGACGTAGCCAAGCTACAGGCAGCGTTTGCGGATGTGTTCTCGCCCCTACCTGGTCGAACGGACCTCATACAGCACCACATAGAAACCGAGCCGGGTGTGGTGGTTCGCAGCCGGCCGTATCGTTTACCTGAGCACAAAAAAAGGTGGTTCAGGAAGAATTAGAGGCGATGCTAGAGATGGGAGTAATAGAGGAATCCCATAGCGATTGGGCGAGCCCGATAGTTTTAGTGCCAAAAACTGACGGCTCGGTACGATTCTGTGTGGATTATCGCAAGGTGAATGCTGTGTCGAAATTCGACGCATATCCAATGCCGCGGGTTGACGAACTGCTTGATCGGCTGGGTGCAGCTTGTTTTTATTCGACACTGGATTTAACGAAAGGATATTGGCAGATCCCCTTATCACCTCTATCCAAAGAAAAAACAGCCTTCACCACGCCGTTTGGATTGCACCAATTCGCTACGCTTCCGTTCGGGTTGTTCGGGGCGCCGGCCACGTTTCAGCGCCTCATGGATAAGATTCTCCGGCCGCATGCGACATATGCCGCTGCATATCTAGATGATATTATTATTTATAGTAATGACTGGCAGCGGCATATGGAGCATGTGCGTACTGAGAGCGCTGAGAGGGGCCGGATTGACGGCCAACCTGAAGAAGTGTGCGTTTGGGCGTGTGGAGGTTCGGTATCTGGGCTTCCACTTGGGACACGGGCAGGTGCGTCCCCAAATTAGTAAGACTAATTCTTCATCACTTAGTGAGTGTAACCGTTTTTACAGCTCCGTGACACAACACGTCAAAATAATAATAAGCAGAATAAGCCTTAAAAATTCTCAGAGGTGCAACAGCACGTTCATATATATGTTTTCGATGCAGAGTGCAAATGGCTGTGCATTTATTTGTGTTTTTAACTCGATGGGAGCGAAATGAAACTGTCTGAACGCAAAGCTGTGTGCACTTTTTTAGCATTTTTTAAAACTGTGGTGAGAACTAACCAGTGCTGAAACGGGGGGTTTCATGACACTTTAAATGGCTTTTTGGCTGTGGTCTCTATCAGACAGTTGACTCTCTTCACTACTCTACCAGCCCGTGGTGTAATTTTTGGCTTGTTTGTGGCCAGGTATAAACACATCTTCACTGACTGAGCCATCAGTACCTGGATTGGTCATATCAGCTTTTCCAGATACACTGCCAACATCAGAAATACCAAACCACATTGTCTCATCAGAGAGAATCTGACTTTGATTGTCTGAAATGGAATCACCACAGTAAGTGTCACCACTGTCATCCTCTTCCTGTTCTATCTGTTCATCTATAGACTTTGAATTATTTAAGTCATCTTCATTTGATGCCCATGAACGTGTTTTGTTTCCAGGGTTTTCATCCTCCAAGCAATCAGTGGAATTTGAGAATAGGGTCTCACACTCTGAATCATCTGAACACTCATCAGCTGTCGATCCATGTGATTTCTCCTCAGGAAATGTTACCGGTAAGAAACGAATGCCCAATAGCATATTACGATGAACCACCTTCCTATCCCTATCCCTATCCACAATGGTGTACACAGTAGGTTCCCATTTATCTGCCAATTTCTGTTTAAACGCTCTCTCCTTTCTTGGCAATAAGCACTCCATCTCCACAGTTTAGATGTACCCCTTTGATCTTGCGGTTATAAATCTTGGTTTGTTTGTTTTGTTCTTGTACAGTATGTTTTTGGGTGATTTCGACTGCTTCGTAAAGATTAGACATCAATGTTGCAGCATAGCTGCTATAATCAACTATTGCAGGATCTGTCAAAACTTGCTTAAACATTAAATCCACAGGAAATCGTGGGACACGCTCCAACATGAGTTGAAAAGGGGCATAACCAGTTGTCTCATGAACTGTTACGTTGTAAGCAAAGGTCAAAGTCTGAATTTGTTGTGGCCACTTATCCTTAGATCTCAAGGGCAATGAATGAAGCCTATTTCCTAATGTGCGGTTGAAACGTTCCATGATGCCATTTCCCATAAGATGATATGCAGTCGTGCAGGAATTGGAAACCCCAGAAAGTGCTAACAATTTGACAATGAGCTTGCTCTCAAAATTTTAGCCTTGATCAGTATGGATCCGCTAAGGAAACCCATACACGCAGAACACATTGTCACATAACTTCCGAGCAACTTGCTTAGCTGTTTGGATAATGCAAGGAAAAGCATGTGCAAGTTTAGTGAAATGATCCGTCAAGACCAACACATCCACTGAATGTTGCTTCTTGTCCTCAGCACTCCAGAAATCAAGGCACACCAGCTCCATCGTTGCAGATATTCAAATACTTTCCGGAGCTTGAGCAGATGGCTCAGGTTTTTTTTTTTCAGAATGCACCTCCAGCAGCACTTTACATATTCTTTAATATCATGTTCCTTTTTAGGCAAAGTGAATTGTCCTAGCCAGTCATTGCTGACCAGCAAGATCATGAAGACCGGCTAAGGCTTTTTTGATCATACTTCGAGGGAGAACATACTGGTGTCGTTTCTGCCTGCTAACTGGGTCCTTAGTTACTTTATACAGAACCCCATCCTGGACTTTCAGACAATCCCACTTCTTTATAAGTGCCATTGTTCTGAAGTCAAGCTTTTCTCTCTCTCTCTCTCGCTCTCGTCTAGAAGGGTGTCTTTTTCGAATTACAAAAGGGAGAACCTTCTAAATGGTAATATCAAGTTTTTGACTTCTTTGCAGCTTATTATGAGAAAACCCAGGCAGAGAGACTTGGTTAGCAGCTGCAACCTGTTGAACTGACTGAACCAACTGGACAGCTCATTTAAATGTTGCTGTTTCCCAGTCATCTTCGACTTGGCAAAGTGTCTTGAACAGAACCCCATCCTGGACTTTCAGACAATCACACTTCTTTATAAGGGCCATTGTTCGTAAATCATGTCTCTCTCTCTCTCTCTCTCTCGTCTAGAAGGGTGTCTTTTTCGAATTACAAAAGGGAGAACCTTCTAAATGGTAATATCAAGTTTTTGACTTCTTTGCAGCTTATTATGAGAAAACCCAGGCAGAGAGACTTGGTTAGCAGCTGCAACCTGTTGAACTGACTGAACCAACTGGACAGCTCATTTAAATGTTGCTGTTTCCCAGTCATCTTCGACTTGGCAAAGTGTCTTGATGGCTACTGGGTCACATGGCTGCACACAACTCGACTGACATCCTACACAATCACTGAGCTTGTGGCACTCAACCTTTAAACGAAACACATCCTGTATACCTTCTTCC